GGGCGGAGCAGGGCATCATCCCCAAGGCGGCTGCTGAACTCTTTCGGTGAGGAAGAAAAGCATTTGTTTGTTTTTTGTGATAGTTACTGTCTATAATGACTAAACTCTGCGAGATGTGTTTTTTTATGACATGCTGAATCCAAAGTAGATCTGTTCTGATTTACTGTGTAGAGATAAAGTTGATCCATTAGTGTATCAAAATAGAATATATTTAGGTCGAACTTTGTCTTTTTGTTTTCATGTATGGGGTTTTGTTCCTGTTCCTGTGTGTGTGTGCAGGATGATCTCTGAGAAGCCAGTTTACAGCCACACAGTGGAGGTGTCAGTGATGGAGGTGTACAACAACGAGGTGCTCGACCTTCTGGCCAAAGATGCGCAGGGCAACCCGGTGGAGCAGCGCTGCGACGTCATCACCACCTCCAATGGGGCCAGCCAGGTCATCGCCCTCAAATACCAGTGAGTACAGCCGCAGCTGAGGAGACAACCAGAATATAAGATTGTGTTTCTATTTATTATTATTTGATATCTCTATTGAACGGGTACCATGCATAAAAAACACATTCATCTCAAACAGAGAAGAGATGCTATATGCCAGATTATAGCTAAAAGCACATTTCCATCTGCAGTCCTTGGACAGGTACACACTTAACAGTCAACACACTAATTCAAATAATTTCATATTGCCTATAACCCTAACAAATAAAACAGCTCAAATACAGATGAATCAAATATAAATATTAGTACTTTTGTCAAATATAATTTATCAAAACCAACCAAATCAAATGTTTGCACAATGGGGAAAAAGCCTGCCTTTGTTTTGTATTCATATAATCAAAGCTTTTCGACATGTAACATGTATCAAATGATGTGTAATGGGAAAGGGCTGAAAATGACGCTATCAGGGTGGGGCGGGTGAACCAAACAGTGAAGTTGAATGCAGTAAAACTATAAGATAAAACCAATACAGGCTGCACTGGGTCGTCACTGAGTTATATTGTTCCCATAGACATATTCACTTCATCCATGTTCAATACTGATTTTAGCAGCTATCACTTCATGTCGGATGTGTTTCATATGTCTTCCAGGCCCGTGCGGGATGCCTCTGAGGTGATGCAGATCCTCAGCAGGGTTTTGAAGCTCAGGGCTCACTGTCCCACCCTCGTCCACCCCGACTCCTCTCGCTCTCACCTCATTGTCACCCTCACCATTTCCTCCAAAAGCCCCAACGCACTGGCCCTGGGTGAGACGCAATCACACACACTCACACATATGTTAGCATTGATGACACCTGTTGGCCACACACTCATACACTGTTTGTTTCCATTCAGCCCGCAGGCTCCAGAGTGCCAAGAAGGACATGCAGCTGGCCGCTCAGAAGGAATGGTGGAGCCCACGCTGTCGCCGTGCCAACCTCGCCGCCCGCAAATCATCTGAGGATCATCTCTTCGCGAGCACGGCCTCCTCTCCCAGCCGCTCCCCCTCACACTCCCCCTGTCCGTCCCCCAGGCGCAGCGTTTCCCAGGCTCTGTTCAAAACCAAGCTGCAGCTGGTGGACCTGGCAGGGAGCGAGAGTGTCGGTGAGAGGGGCTCAAGGATGTGAATTTAGTTTAGTGTCGTGGGAAATTTGGTCTGTGATTGTTTGAAGATGCATCTGGCCACATTTAACCTGGAAAACATACCTTTTTAATGTAAATAATTGAAAAACAGTCATTAGGCATGTCTAATTCAGATGCTGGGGATAACATGCTGCTTTGTGCAGATTTCAACCTGCTCATATACAGCCTGTACAAACACAGCTGAGGATGCAGGTTTTGGTAATCAACCTGTATTTACACAGAAAAAAGGTCAGAATAAGAATCAGAATACCTTAATCATCCCACAGAGGGGACATTTGAATTTGTTACAGCAAGAAAAGAACCAAAGACAGCTTAATGATAACCAAGAAGCATGCATACAAAATATTAAAGATAAAAATAACAAGACCATTTACAAAATACACATCCTGTAACAGTTCTAAGAGATATAGCAGCCAGGTATATATTGCAAAGCTATTAACGGCATATATATATTGCACATAATTGGTATTATAGAGATTTTTTTTTAAATTCATTGGGATAAACCCCTTCAGCACCATCTCGCTTTCAAGGGGGTCCCGACAATAGCAACAACTTACAGACATACATAAATATAGTATAGTCTTTGTTGTTATATGTGTATGGGTCACTGTCACTGAACCAAGTAGAGCGGATGCTTGTTCATTATGCATATCAATCAGCTTCCGTGCAGACAGTTAAAAAATGTGTGTGTGTCAGGTATGTCTGGAGTTTCGGGCGCCGCTCTGTGGGAGGTGTCCTGTATAAACCGCAGTCTCTCTGCTCTGTCCGATGTCCTGGGAGCTCTGGCCGAGCAGAGACCACACGTCCCCTACAGGAACAGCAAACTCACCCATCTGCTACAGGACGCCATAGGTGAGGCGCACACACACTTACACACTCACACTCTCTTTTTCTAACACCTGGGATTCATATCTTCTGGGTTTGCATTTCCTGGGAAAGAGTCACTGACACCGACATGTCTTCACCTAGCTGAGAGATTCCACATACTGTAACTCAGACAACACTGAATCATCCAAAACACTACGCCAAGATATGTCTGTATAATGTATTTGTCCTTGCCCTAAAAAGGAAAAGAAAAGTATGACACGTGTATTTAAATTGTATTTTGTCCTTTTTAGTGTAATCTTTTGGTATATATTATATATTTCCTGTGAATAATTGTCTTTATCTTAATGTCATACATTTACAGAGCTAGATCCCAGATCAAATGCACGCTAAAGGCTCTTTGAGCATGTTTTCTCACAGTGAATGTTAAATGTTTGTTTTTCATGTATTGTGTCTTGATATTTGTCTATGTTGATGTTACACATGGAGCTGCTGTGATGCAAGTCAAATTTCAGACCATTAAAGTATTATCTTATCTTATCTTATCGTCATAATATTTCTTTTCGTTTTTTATGATCGGTGTTATTTTTCTCAGATTTTCTTACAATGTATCTTCTTCAGCTGTGTTTATGTATGCAGCATACACACTAAGGCAACCTCCTCATACTGTATGTGTAAACCTACTTGTTTCTGACTTGAACTCTAATGTAATTTTTGGGTGGTGTTTAACATGTCAGTCTTGAACATCCCCTCTTGTCTCCATCCCCTCCACCAGGCGGAGATGCCAAGCTGCTGGTGATGCTGTGCGTCTCCCCCACGCAGCGCTACGTCACAGAGTCCCTGCAGTCCCTGGGCTTCGGGACCCGTGCCCGTCAGGTCCAGAAGGAGCTGCCGCGAAGGAAGGGGAACCCTCTAAAAGTTAAGTGACGAGACAGACAGAGAGATTTTCTCCTTTGCAATACGGCAGCAAGATACGTCCTGAATCAGTCATGCCAACACGTTTCGACGGTATACCTGCAAATCTGTTATTTTAGTTTATAGTGGGTGTGAGCCCTTCTTGCTCTCAGTAGTTACGTTAACTAAGAAATGTGTTAATTTTGCTAGAAATATTTATATATTTTCCTTTTTTAGATATATTTTAATAGACTAAATGTCTTTTATAGGGCTTTCTGAAGTACTTGTATAATGTGTTCATTTTTAACCCTGGCAAACAAAGGGTGCTTAGTAGTTATGGATGAAGATACTGAAAGTTGGGGTAATGATTCAATTTAGGATAACATTTTATTTATTCAATCTCTCATATCATTAGACTGTAGATCATGTTGATAGTCGTCAGTCCTGTATAAGAAAATGCTTCCTGACTGAAGTAGTCTTCCATGAATTCTGTTGTAAATACATTTCAGTGTTTCTGCTCATGCCTTCTCTTTTTTAGAGTTTTGGGTGCAGTTATGTTTGTACACATGTTGATGTATTCTGTATCTGTATTCATCCCCCTTTTTTGAAGACTTGAAAGTAGTGCCGATATTACAAAACAAAATTAAACAGCTGATGTGCAGATATGTGTATTTTGTGTTTCAGTCTGTTCCCGATGACACTGTACAGAGAAAGTCAAATAAGGGCATTAAACAGTTTGTGCAGTCTCTTAGAAAAATTATTCATATAAAGTTGATTGCTCACAAAAGGCTTTCTATTCTACGCAAACTACTTCCACTGCGGGGGATTGTTCCAATAAACCGTCTGCTGCTGTGTAGATTACAGCGAAGAGGAATACATATAATCACTTTAGAGCAGGACGGTATTATTTTTAGCTTTTGTTTTACAGTCAATTACTGCAGGCAGGTGGAATATTCTGCATAAGCACAATTCTGCTAAGGAGCTGAACAATTGATTGCCCAATGTGGCAAAACCCATCGGGGTGATAACAAAGTACACCAGCTGATGATTCTTTTTACAAAAGCTATTTAAGGTTTGTTGACTACATGTTGGAAGAAAACAAATCAGGTAATTTCCCTCGTGGTGAAACAGTGGGACATCTTCCAAGCATGGGGAAAATAATACTGTCTGGTATGTACAGCCCCCCCCCCACACACACACACACACTCACTCACTCACTCACTCACTCACTCACTCACACTCGTCCTCCTCCCAGCATGCTGTCATCTGCGATGAGAGCACTTCACGATGTATTGAAGTTAAAATCCACCCGGTCAAAAAGCTGACATGTATTTGAGACGCAGCTGTCATGTGACACCCTGACACCAAAGCGTCTTTGAAAGCGCAGGCTTAGAGGATAAAGAGTGACGGTGACAGGATAATAAATATGAAAACTCCAGGAACAACACATTTCTCTTTCTTCTCAGTACTCTCTATAAACAGGGAGAGAGGTGAGAAGATGAGGAGAGGGAGGAGAAATGATGAGTGTAGGTGAGAATAAGACAAGATCAATATGGGAACAGAGGGAGGTGAGATGGCACATGTCATTGTGAGCTTTTAATTATAACCGTTAGTCTTTATCCACACCGGACAAACACAATCTGAAAGGGTTCTCCTCCAAAAGTCAAGATGTGGATCATTTGGGATAAACCCCCGGCACTATTCCTTCTAATATGGATAAGGGAGTTAGCTTTATTTGGTTGTAAGGGATTTTTCAGTTCTTCATAGCTGGCTTAAAATGACCCAGAGCTGTTCTGTTACGTGGATCATGGCCAAGACATTATAAGGCTAAACTGCTTATTCGGATAAAATGATCCTCTTAATTCTCATTGGCTAACTTTGAGTGCCTGGCGGACTTCCTTATAAAGCAGATTCATCTTTTAATATTAATTATATGACAAAATGCCCAGCAAATAAATCATGCTCGGATTTGATGTTAATTATAACTGATCCAGAGCTATTGAATTGTTTTAAGGCAGCTGCACAGATAGATGATGCCACATTTCAAAGAGACATCATTTATTATGATATGCTTGCATTAACTAACCGCAATCAGGAATATTAAGTTGAACATATTTCTTTTTGCTTATAGTACCCCAAAACTAAACTAGGATTGGTCATTTTTCTTAGCTGAACAGATGTTTGATTATTACACATCACAGATTTTGACAATTTCTTAATTAACGTGATCTCATGTAGTTAGATTAGATCAACAAAATGTTGCTAATGGCTATAATGAAAGGAGTAATGAATGCCTTAAATTGACTTTATGTCTTGGTGATGTTCCATATAGCACTGTTGTTGGCTGTGGAGACAAACTCAACAACAACAACAACAACAGACCCATAACATTTAGGGCTAAAACATAACATTAGATTTTTATTAATTCAAGCAAACTGTTACAGTCAACAGTTACATAAGTTACATGGTATACAGTATTGATCTAATCTTTTTCTTTTTTAAACCAGGGTTACTGTACCCCCCCCCGTCATCCCCCCTCCCCAAACATAGAAACAGCAAATCCATACAAGCGCAGGCAAGTAAGTAGTAACAGCACAATACATTCATCAACTCAACGATACGTTTTGTACGAACAATAAGGCAAGTAGAAGAAAGAACGAACGAACGACGAACAGAAAAGGATGGCGGACATTTTCTTTGAAATGAGCCAAAACAAGGCATAATGTATCCTTCTCTTTCATGCCTGAAAGGGCAGTCTCGTAGAACATGTAATATTGTGTTTGTTGCTGCAGAACCGAAGGAGGTAAGGCTTCTTGTTATTGGGCAGGGACTCAGTAACAGGGGATCTGAGGGAAGAGCTGCCTTCAGTGCTGTTGAGTGGGTTTACCTGGTGTTGGTCAGACTCTGTTGAGTGGGTTTACCTGGTGTTGGTCAGACTCTGTTGAGTGGGTTCCTTTTTGAAATTCACACTTTTTTTTCTCTGCACACTGAAAATGTATCAGGAACAGTAAACAGGCAGGAGATCTGACGTACATGTACAGCATCTAACCACTTGTAGTGTCCATTTCTATGGCAAAGAAATGATGGGAGCTCGATATTCAGATTCCGATGGCTCAGTGTTTCTCTTGATGTCCACATGAGCATACAGGGCTCTGTAGAACCTTGACAGACAAACAGCTCAATCTCTTGGCATACATTTCCCTGGGGTAAAAGTTGGATGTAAGTCAATGGATATGCACAAGCTTCCCCTTCTTCATTTTCACCTATATAGCAAACATCACATGACATACCAACACAATCTTTAGCTTGATCTAAGTGGTGGAGTCAGTCCTGATGACAAGTAACAAAAAAACAGAGTTCATGTAGTGGTCAGTATCAGCAACTACTGTCCCGTTACAACGGCAAATGTGTCAGCAGAAAAATGTAAATAAAAGACGATCAAATAAACCAGCATCCACTCAATGCCATGTTGTGCCACCGGGTGGCAAAATGGTGCCGCAGAACTAAGGAGAATGCAACATGCCTTCATTTTTTCCTTTTCTTGTTGTTTTTTTTACATCGAAGTACAGATAAGAAACAAAACAAGTGGTTCTTCAGAAAGTTATTTTCATGTGTAACAATAGTAAACATGGGGGACTTCATCACAAGAAATCCAGAAGAAACAATGTCATGTGGTAGTGCAGAAAAGAATAAATGCAAAAACTTCTCTTGGAACACGAGAGAGACGGACCAGGACATGAAGATTCTCCTCCGAACACAAACCACAAGACAGAGATTTGAGAAAGAATGAAGTGTGACAGAGGAAGAGTGGGCAACAACAATGTTTTGCTTCTTTCCAGAGTAGAAAGGACTGTGATGGCGAGGTGTGGAGTGCACCTGAACACATTCCTCCTCTGCCTCCAACTCTGCTTTTTCCAACCCCCCTTCCATCTGTTGATCTCCATCACTCCATCCAGTCTCCTTCGTCAAACTCGGACTCATCCTCGGAGTCGGAGTACTCCACAGCGATGCGGCGGGACAGGATGGTTGCCACGTCGTTGCCAACGCGCTCGTGCTTAGCCTCTTGCTCTCGCTGCTCCTCCACTTTCCGAAGCTGTATGCCTGGAAGAAGCAGCAGAGAAAGAGAGGTTATGATGACATAATAGCGTGTCTGTCCATCAGTTCAAAACCCCCAAAACATGACATTGTATTCACTGTGAGATCACCGAATATTACAATTTCAGAAGCTGGAATACATTTCATAATTGTTTGCTTAAAATTGGCTTTTCAAAAGAATAATGTTTCTGTCAATTCATTATCCTTCCTCCATCAATTGACACATTTTTCGGAAATTGTGGGTTATCTGTCTCCAATTTTAATTTAGTTTTCCAACTTATTCACAAATACAGATGTGTGTTATCATATAGCCATTTTCACAAAAATATACTATCCCTAACCCTCTCTAAAAAAGTGCGTATTTAGAGCCTGGAAAGAAAGAAGTGGCGACAGATAACCCACAAGTACCCATTTTTCTCCTGTCATTTTATGGGTTATTTTTCTAGATTTTTAAATTGTTTCGCAATTTAAAAAGAATTACAATTCAATAACAAAGACACACTTCTCCCTAAAAAAGTAATTGTGTGCTTTGTCCAGAGAAAGCATGACTCCTCACTGTTTGCTGGGGAACCTTCCCACATCTCTGGTGAAACACAACCCACCTTTTCTGATGGCTTCCAGCAGGACACTGCGAGCGTCGCTGATGGGGGGCAGGCTGGCTGCTTGGTGCCTCTTGCTGCCCTGGGGGGGCGGAGAGGCCATGGCTCCTGCTGAGGGGAAGGCCGGCACGGGTGGGGGGCCTGAGAGACAGGGCGAGGAGCTCCGTCCTCCAGTGAGGGGCAGAGGGGGAGGCGGCGGGGGGGGAGGCAGGATGCTGCCGTCCGACTGGGTGCCAGAGCCCGAGGGCAGCCCCCTCTCCAGGACCTGCTGGAGACGGGCCGGGGAGCAGTGGAGGGGCGGGGCGATGGGCGGCGGGGCCGGGTGCAGCACACCGGGGGCGATCTGGAGAGGAGCTGGAGGGGGGGGGATGGGCGGAGGATGCTGATGCAGTGGAAGAGGAGGGATGGGAGGAGGAGGAGTGCCCCGTAGGCCTGAGGAGGGTAACGGGGGAGGCGGAGGAGGGAGAGGNGGGGGGGGCGGTGGAGGGGGAGTGTTGGAGTTGAAGCCTGATGTCCGTGCTGGAGACTGGGGTCTGCTGTCGGAAAAACCTGAACTGGAACTGAAAGGAAAAAAAGAGAGAGAAGGAAAGAAAAGAAGGTCATGACGAGGACGAGTGCTGAGCCGTGAGGGTGAGAGAACAGTCTGAATCAGAGGTCTGAGAGAGAGAGAGAGAGAGAGAATATAATATGCTTTTAAAATAATAACATGTAGCTACCAATTTACTTTTATGGATCCGCTTAAATCCGCTTTAACTACCATGTTTACAAAGACTGACACTAGTCTTAGTAATTAGTCTTTTTTTTTAAGTGCAGTGTAATCAGAGAGATTTAGAGACAATTGAAATCTTCCTGGCTGAAGAGCTGCTGCAGCTCGTACATTAAAGTCAGAATGTTTTCACTATAGGACATGAACTGCTCCTGAAGCTGAGTGGGAGGATCAGGACATCACAACACAAAGGTCGACATGTTCACAATCAATTTTCTTTCTACGGAGAAAATTGCAGCACACAAAAAGCACAGCGAGGATGAAGTGTGGGGGGGGGAATAATGTGTTGAGTGCTTCCTCTAAGAGCTACATTAAAGCAGTAGGGAAGGGGTAAAGTGTGAAAGTTAGTCATAGAAGTTGATAATAATAACTTTTTAAAGAAAGTAACCATGAGATACCAGAATCAAAAGGTCACACAAAGGCTAGAAGTAAATCTAGAATCAAAGAAGATCGCTGCAAAGAATCAATGAGATTTGTTTTGCAACCACATCCTTAATCATTCCCTCTCATCTCTCCGTTCCTTCAAAACAACCTGTAATGCGCTCAGGGGCCTTAACGCTTTATTGATCCTGCCCTTCTCTGAGACTTTTCCTTTTTTCTTCAGCTTTGGTCCACAAACCCTCCGTCTATCCATCCATCCTTTCTTTTTTTGCTCAAACATCCTCGTCCTCTCAGGCAGAATCAAAAGGAAAGTAATGCAACTCACCAGGAAGAGGGAAACACACCTAAAGAGACTCAGAGAATGGCTTTCTCTGCACCAGATGAGTAGCACTCCCTTTTCAGGTAAGTTAGAAAATCAGAGCTACAACTTCCCGGGTGAGCAACTATCACCTTTTTGCAATTTCTATGCAATGTATATTATTTAAGGTTTCCGTGGGGGTCGTAAATCTGAGGTTATGTGTGGTCTACTCTCCCACCTGATCACAGAGGGTGGCTTGATCTCTCCCAGTGGGTGCATGAGGGGTGGAGGCGGTGGAGGGTCGTGGGGCCGCGAATACATTCTGTCCCCGGTACGGTTCAGCAGCTCGTTCATCTGGCTGTAGGGCAGCGCCGCCAGAGAGAAGGGCCCCTCCATATCTTCCAAGTACATGGGAGCCCTGAGCAGAGAGAGGCGTTGTCCTTAACTCACAAACTTTGAATTTACCTCGCTGATTTTTTTTTTGCTTTAATCCAGCCTCTATTGTCCATTGTATTCTTATTACCAATTACTTTCTGCTGACAGAGCTTAAACATAGTCATGCTACATAGAGAATTGACCCAGTTTTCCCTACCTTTTTCACTTACGGCCCATTGAGAAACAACTGTTGATACATTATTATTATTATTTATGTTACTCCCCAATTATCCCACACATTTATATTTTGGTGTGCACAAGCTCACAAGTGACCCCTACCATCCAGCAAAGTCTTCCCGTGAGCCCTTTTTGCTGTTCACTCAGGAAGAAACATTTTCTCTCATAACCTTTCTGGATTCATTTGAATACAGTTTGGAGGCATGAAGAGATAAAACAGCCACTTCACAAAAAACAAACATGCAAGAATAAAATAATGAATGAATATGATTTGGTTTGTGTTCTTCCTATCCTGTAATCATCTTATAGGAAGAGGATGATCTATCATAATCGATGTAAATCAAGTCTGCCTACTCTAAATTGAAAAATGTCTTAATAAGTTAAGAAATAACCCTTTTCCTGATCAATCCTGTATTTACGAAGCAGAGTGGTAATAAGGAAACACGTTCATATTCATATTTTTTAGAATTAATGTTAACAACATTCCACCCTTTAATCTGTTATATAAATAAGATCAGAGATCCAATGAGTAGACCCATCTGATGTAGATATTTGAACACATTCAAAATGTAATTAACTGCAGGAAGAAGCATCAATGGAGGCTGTATTACACTCTACTTTGGCTCAGGTCAAGCCTTTAAATCCCTCTTTCCACATCGAATGAAGTTACTTGTAGAAACAACAGTTTATCTGTGTCTTTATGCATCTTGCACCAGTTTTATATTTTATTTATGAGCCAAAAAAAGCTAACGTGCCTCAGCTACAAAAACACAACGTTTCATCAGCACACTGTCCATTTCATCACACTGTGGATATTTAGTTAATAACCCCTAAGAGTGTGCATTCAAACCATCTATATGTGCTGACACTGCACTTGATTACTTGGGGGAAAAATACTGTCAGCTATTCATGGAACTCTAAAATCAAAGCAAAGCAGCAATTTGCAAAAATGTTTTTCTTATTAATCACATTGACTGGCAGGGAAATGATTGAGTATGAGTGGCGCCGGAGCTTTGAGGAACAATAAACGCAATCATAACCTTAATAGTGCCCGTTGCAGCTCAAGTGTAAATTGCAACATCTTGCTCTCTCTGTGGAGTAGGCGCAATTTATTTTTGTAGATTACATCATGCTGACAAATAAGTGAAACGCATTTTCAAGCGCATATATACTTTAAATTAGAAGTTATACATGCTGTATTTCCATGGTTACCGTGTATGTAAAGCCAAGCATTTGACTAAGGCCAGGTAGTACTTACTTTCCAACAATAAGAAACGATAACTTATGTGAATTTAAATGTTTGTCTGCTCTTGAGGTGCATGAAGCCATCCCACATACCTGTTGTCGTGGTAACCTGCAGGTCCGTTAGCCTCTCTGTGTTTGTCCTCAGGTATGTCCTGGGCGAGCTCAGCGCCCAGTGCCTGTCTCTGCCACTCCTTCTTACGGTCGTGTGGCGCCCGCGGGATCTTCTCTTGCTCGTGGGGACGGTCTAGCGTCTTCATCTTCAGCGGTAAGGAGGGTGATGGTGGTAAGGGGGGGAGGGGGGTGGGGAAATTCAGGAGATGTGGGAGAGGGAGGAGGAATCCGTAAAGGGTGGTTTGTGGATGGAGAAAAACAAAAGGTGAGGAGAGAGGGTGAGAGAGAAAACATAACAAATTAGCTGCTGTTACATTTATTTATTTAACATCCTATAAAACAAAACGAAAATCACAACAGGCACAGGTGGCAGATTTATAGGTACAAAGAGAAAGCTGAGTAAACGAAGCATTTTATTACTGTTCAGACACACATAAACAAATCCACATTTTAAAAATGTATCTATGTTGGACATCTTTTCTGATGCTACACCTTCTTTATTTAACTGAACACGTGCCACATAAATATCCATATATTTACATAACAGCTACTGTCAAAACATGTATCTGTTTTAAACTAGGTGATGAAGACTTGAATGAATTAGCTTCTAAAGAGTAATCACAGATATTTATCCAAATACCGTCGTACTAGCTGGGGAACAGGGAGTGCTCATTGACTGATTTGGACCAAATCATAGTATCCATATTTACTGCAGAATATTACTGAGAAAGTCATTTTCAAATGGACATTTGGTATAGTTTTTTTACATATGTAATCTGGTCCATCAACAAACAGCACTTCCTGCCAGCTAAACATAGCATGACTGACTTTCAACACATACACACAACCATACACATATCCGTAAAGAATCGGAGCATAGAGCTGCTGTGGCAGAAATCACACAATTGTTTTAAGATTGAAATCGCTGTATTTTCACATACCTGCCCTGGAAGGTCTAGGTACCTATAGACCTGATCATACATGCGGGGGTCCTGCAACTATAAGAAGAAAAACAAAAACCACAAGAGAAGCACCAGGTGTGAGGGGAGGAGGGTCAACAAATCAATACGGCGGCACAGGATTGAGCAAAACACCGCTGAGTAACAGTCAACAGGGACAAAAACAGAGTGGGCGGTGAGAGAAGGTGGGACAAAAGGGAAAGAGGGGAAAAGAAAAGTGCTGTTAAACAGAAAATGACAACACATGGCACAGCTCGGGGGGGCGTCACAATGAAGGTGGCACACACAGTCCAGTTCTCACACACACACACACACACACACACACACACACACACACACACACACACACACACACACACACACACACACACACACACACACACACACACACACACACACACACTGGAGATCTCACTGGAAAAGGAGGACAAACTACACAGGTGTGTTTTTAAAAGTGAGGAAAACTCACAGTGAAGAATGACATGTAAACAAACACAGAATAATAGATACAATGGTAAAAACACAACAACACAAACATGAGGAAGATAACACGTCAAGGTTTAACAAAATATTGATGTGATGATTCAGTGTGGTGATGCTGAGACACTTTATGCATTCATGTTAGAAAATCAAAGGCAAATACTGACACAAACAACTCAATTAAAAACGAAATATTTATACCGTTGTGGGTGAATAGTTGAATAGAATGGCAGTCTGGTGTTATTCTTTGTTTTTTAATGTCAACAAATCTCATGAAAAGACGGCAACCTTCTGACTTCCCCACCCTGCTTGCAACACTTAGCTTTAAGCCCTCTCGTTTCATACCTAAGATATAAATCTCATAGGTCACAAATGTATGGTTTGATATTTTAAAATAGGGCTGTAATTACAAATAATTTTCATAATCGTATAAAAACAAGGACATTTCTTTCTTTTAGTATAAAAACAGCATTTTCTGCCATGTTTTTCATGAAGAATAATTTCATCCATTGATGGATTATCAAAAGAAGTTATTTTTCTAACAGTGCCTTTGCTGGGAAACATTTCTTAGCTGTACTGTAGGAGGGATTCATTTAACAACACATTTAGATTTTCATTGTAATGGAGAAACATGTCACCCAGTGCACATTGTGTATTTTCACACCAAAAGATACAATAGGCTTTGGGTACACAGGCACAGAAGGATACATTAAGGTTTCAGTCTTTTTGTGGGATCTTTTGACAAAAGTAAACAGAATATCGCCAGACGTGTCTTAAAGTGTAGGTCATTCAAATCAGGTTATAAGCAAGCTGCAGTACAATAAGTGAACACATTCAGCAAACTGCCGTCACAAGCACATAACATTTCCCCAGTTATTGGCTTCAAAACAATAATTCAGATCCTATTTAGCGGCAGAAACACATTACAGGTGGTTTGTGAGTTTACTTATTTGTGCTTATATGGTGGTGAATAGACCCCTAACAAATAATCACCTCAGCATTAAAGCCAATACTAATCAATATCTTTTATGTGACTTGGATCCTGCAGGGCAGTGTCCCCTGCTCTAGACGTTGTTTGTATGTGTGATTGTGCTGGTCTTTAAATAAAAACATGCTGCTTGATTCGGCTCAGTGTGGGTAGTGTGCAGAATATCCTCTGCCTGGGCTGAGTAATGATGATTGTGTCCGTCTACTGCTGTGGTCAGGCCGCTCAGAGCGAGCATGGGAATAAATTCTAATGCTAATGCACATTGATTAGGATCTGATTCAGCATGGCCCATTACTCCTGATGAGGCATTGGCCGAGGGGGAGGCCTCTGCGCTCTAACACACACACGCAGCACATTTATATATCTGGGCTGACAAACTGAATATCATTTACTCCAAACATGAAACGGCAATGCTCCCTGACAGCTCTGTCTGCTGAGGCAGAAGGAGCGGCATTAGAAGGTTGAATATTTTAACCTATCGTCCTCCAGTTTTCGAAACACTGTCGAGCTTCACTTTGCAATTTCTGCTGGAAGATTCGTTTTGGTGCAACTAACCTCTGACTTCCTAAAAGGTTTGCCGTTATCGCGTCTTGGCAATATTTAAAGAAGCATTAAAGAGCACATTTGCAAACTAAAACGGCACTCTGAGAGCAGACCTCTGGCAAGGCTGCTTCCCTCACTTTGATCCAGTTTAAACTGTAATGGGTTTTTCAGTCTGGCCCATAAACAATGGGGACAGTAGATTTTTTTCTGTAATTGCTTACAATTCCTCCTGGGCAGAGTCAAAAATGATGAGGATTGGATTGTATTGATATTACTATGGTGAATGACAGGCAGATATAAAGGCGAATGAACACATAACACATAATGCCAGCAGACGACCATCTGTCCAATAGAAAGCATCACAGAGTGACGGTGGTAATGCAGCAACGTAAATGTGAAAACCGAGTGAGCAAGGAGGGAGGTACACTGTGTTTGTATATGAGAGAAAATGAGAAACAGTGCAAGTGTGTGTGTGCATGCACGTGTTCATCACAGTTATTATAAATGCGGCTAATTTCAGAGCGCTGTGTGCCATCGTACGTCTGAACGGAGATCATTCCTGTGATTTATGTGCAGAGTGTGTTCTGTCCGTACACATCCCTTCACACGCACATGTGCCTTTCTGTGTGTGCACCTGTGTGTCTCTGCATGTTTTTGTGCATTTTCAATGTGACAGACTCAGCAGAATTATGGCTGTGTAACACTGTAAATGACCCCCGCAGGGAGGCCCGCAGACCACCCTGCTGCTGACAATAACACAAGCCCCTCACACAATACACACATTTCTGCTACGGCTAATCTATAGGAGGTGGGTTGTACACACTGTACAGTAATAATCCTTGTACATTTAAACAATGCAATATTTGATCTATAGCTATTAGGATTTGATAACTGCAACAAAGTGAAGGACATCTCTGCTCAAACTTGTGTCAGGAAGAGTTAGTTCAACCACAAAAACAAAACGCCAGCAGGGCAAACCATTTATTAAAGAGGATCCCATTCCAAAAATGTTTCAGTTAATTCCTCGATCATCAACTTGCTGTTAGTGAAATAATACTCCATGTCTGTTTCCCAAATTCATTCATTTTTATAGTTTTGTTTCCTAAATGCAGATAGGTAGTAAATAACAGATAAAAGCATTTAACTGACGCTGGCTTAAAAGTATCGACCGTTTAATTTTACGTTTGGCTAAGAATAGACATACATAAATAACTGACTGAATGGATAAATAAGCAGCTAAGCCCTATTTTTTACCCACTCTTCTATTTCATTGGTCACGACTGTCTGCATGTATGACGGTTTGCTTCATCATGACATTGAAGAGAAAACAAAAGTAAATGTTTTACTCTGTGAGCCAGCCTTTTGCCCTTTGGTTGGAACTGCATGTACACGTTTATATTTTTGCTGTTGACACTGAAATACAATCGATTCTCAAATATGATGTGAACAAAACATAATGCCGGTATTACATTTACAATCTCGATAATATATTCTGTAATCGAGCACATCGAGACTTGTCCGACAATTTTCCTATTGACTCCTAATATTCTATCCCTACAGTAGAACTGGGATGCAGTCAGGCAGGTTAATAGTGGACGCTGGTTAGTTCAGTTGTTAGGGTGGAGGTGGGGAGCTCACTTGTCCACAGCAAACCAGAGGGAGAGTGGAAAGAGGGAGGAGAGTGGTGGGTGGGGGGTGGGGGGGGGGGGTGTGAGTGAGGGAGGGCTGCAGGCTGCCAGCTGGGGAGCAGATGCTCTGGAGGACGAGGGGGGAAAAACTCTTACCTCTGGGGCAGTGAGGAAGGGAGGAGGGGTTTCAGAGAGGACTCTTATAAGGCCATTGGGACACACAAGATAAGGCATTTCCAGCTGCAGAGTCCGACAGAGTTAGACCAGGATTCACAAAAGAGAACGTGAGGCAGAGAGGGGACAGAGATCCTAAAGCAGTATTTTACAACATTTTTACAACACAATTTTAGGACATTAACCTGATCCAATGAATAACGGTCAAAGCACACACAGAGGTTTTATCATGTTTTCAAGGCAAGTCAGTGTTCTAGTAAAAAGTGGGGGCAATACTGCGAATGCGCTGTCAGGCAAAAGTTAGAGAATTGCTGTTCTACGTCACGTTCCTGAGCTCCTCTTGCACCTGCAAAGACAAGCTAACAAACTAGCACCAGCTTGCAAACAGCTGCAAAGAGACAACTAGGTCTCATTAGCACACTGGCTGGGAAGTGTCTGTCGTAAAGTGCGCAAATGTAGAAACTTTCTTAGCGAATAAGAAACCATTTGGCACGTGGACATTTAGTAGTATTTAGCAGATTTATGGAATCAATGCTTCTTCATACCCTTGGAGCAAAGCGTCCAAGATGTGCAGACCCTTCAGCATATCGTATGTGCAAAGACTTCCTATATCCTGTTTATACGTTTTTGATGCACCCACCTCTCTTCCTATTATTAGCTGGCCTGATAATGTATGATAGATTTGAACTTTTTGCAATTTAAATCAGGGTCAGTAACCTGTGAAAATGTGGGCAAAACCCTTTTTACTGGCTCGTTATTTAATCAAGCAGTTTATTTAAGATGCAGCAGTGGACGCCTACTGGTTCATATGTGCTATTTGAGGACTGATAGCACATATGTTTTGAACAAATCCAGAAAATATCTCCTTACTTCTGGATCTGGACAATATAACAAAAAAGGCAGAAAATAATTTGCCTTTATATTATATTACAATGTAAATGCATTTCCAGCTGCCCATGGCTATAATGAGACAGGAGTAGGCAGGCATAGCCGAAGGGGGCTTCTCCAGAGGGGGTCCAAATGCTAGGGACAAACTTTGATGTAGTGTAAACTCACACACTGATATCAAAGAGCAGCTGCAATGCTTTCTTTCTCTCTTTGCTCCTCAATCCCTGGGACTCTCTTCCCACTCCCTCTGTCTCCTTATGACTGGCTCAGCACAAAGTCTTCTAATCCACTGAGAGCGAGGCTAACACAGGAGCTAATGAGATTAGCACACCGTAGGCTTCTTTTCCCTTCTCTGTGCCCTGTGCTGCTTTCCATCTATCACTGCCTGCTAATCGGTGTGTGTGTGCCTGTGTGCAGCGCAGTGTGTGTGAATGTGATGTGACTTGGTAGGAAAATGGCGGGTGATTGAGTACAATGAAATAGGGCATATATATATATGCCCTTTTCCATGGGGATTATAATGATATATATATCATCATATATCATGGAAAAGATCTTTATTCTGTGGTGTATGATACAATCTAGACTCGAGTAATGTCACCTGTAGCTTATGAACTCAACCTATGTTAGCTGAATAATACTGTTGAAAAGAGGTGTTATTCAACTATACACCTGTACTGTTAAATCTCTACATCAGTCTTTTATGAATGCCCTTTGCTCAGAGTCATTCGATCGGCTGTACGACACGCTGGGATATAATATTTGATTTGTTGACTTTCCTCTGTGCTGTAAGAAGAAACTTTGACCTGAACCCCTGAACTGCTTCCCCCCGCACGCCAGCAGAAATCAATTACTCCTCCCACTAGCTGGAATGCAACCAAACACTTTTTTTTGTTGCTTCAGTGAAGTTCCCTTAAGACAAGCTCCTGGTCTCTGTTTGCTGAAAAATGTCAAGTCAGGAGCTCTTTATTTGAATTGTCCTTTTGTTATTTATCTTCAACAGTAGAAACCCTGGATGACCTGTATCTTGTCTGCAGTCTGATTCTTTCCTTTCCTTTTTTTTTTTACTTTGTAAATGTGACAGCAGGTCATGTGATGGGCGATTTTAAACTTTAGATGGTGATTTGTAGGGAGACACAAACACAGACATTTAGGAGAAGAGCAAAAGCGACGTGGAACAAAATGTGTCGGCACCCAATCTCAGATAGCGCCTGACAGGCGGCGTGACATTTGTCTGTGTGAATCCCTGCCTCTGTTCCTGAGTTTGTGTCTGAGTTAACGATCGCTATTTATACACAAATAGGAAATAAGTGGCAGAGAAGGATTTTGACTCTATCTTGTACAAAGAATATCCATGATAAACCTGAACAACTCACACACACGTTATGAACAGCGCGACAGAGAACATGAGATGATGTGGCAGAATTACTCAGTGAGCTAAGTGAAAATCTGTCAATGATTAACACATTCAATTCCATCTGTGTGTGTGTGTGTGTGTGTGTTTGCATAACTTTTTATTTGATATCCCTCACTCTTTCACTGATTCTGCATGCTTTTCCATAAGAGCACACATGTCCTCTCCACACTGTATCTGCCCTGATCCTCTTCAGACCATTTATCCACCAGGACGGTTACACAAACCTACAAATATGTGTTCGTAATTCCTCTAATCCATCCTGCTCCCCCTGTGAATGTCCTCTAGGCCTTTCCATGGGGTCTGTCTATCTGCCAGTGTGGTGAAGAGGGAAATGAACACCGCTTTACAAGCTGAGGCCACCCGGGGCTTTAATTAGAATGAAATCATCAGAATTAGCTTCGGCTACAAGCGGTCATATCGACTTAACCCTGTGAAGAAAATAAGGTCTTGCTGCTTTGCCATTGCATTTTACACCTCTGTGTTTGTTTATTAACCTGTCAATATTGTGATGATGCAAAACCAGGAAAACAACTGAAAGTAAATATGCTTCATTTTACACACTCCCAACTAATTATTGGATAAATTCGCCCTGTGTCCTCTCTCCGCTCATTTCCACAATCATTACAAACCTCATAACCAAATGATATCTTCTTCATTCAGGAAAACCACTCTCCTTATTCTTCATTGGAACGGCTGTAATAAGCTTTGATTGACTCTGAGGGGGCAAAATGTGGAGCACGCCCTGCTTCCCACGCGAGGAAATGCAAGCTGGTGCTGATTAGAGCTCCTGATGCGGGGGGTGGGAAACCCCTGAGTTCTGAGAAGTGGGGTCACAGCTTTGCATTTCATGTGGGAGAGGGGCTCCTTATAGATGCGCAAGAGCTCTTTTTATTTGTATTTGTGTGTGTCTGTGTGCATAAAAAAAACCTAACGCTAGATTAAATGTGTGTGTACAGAGGTTCTACATAAGGTTTTGTGTGTGTGTGTGTGTGTGTGTGTGTGTGTGGTAGAGAGATGGCACAGTGCAGGGGCAAGTGAACGGCAGATGCTCCCGTTAATTAGATGTAATGATGACACAAGTAATAACTAACTAATAACTGATTCATCTATGAGCGGTGGCTAATTAACGCATGAGACTACATGGTCTGAAGCCAGGCCCATCAGTGAATCACCCTATCAGTGTATTCAAGCAGGACACATCGTATCTGAGGAGCCTCTCGTTTGCTCTCACTTCATGTCTTCCTACTCGCTAACCTTCAGCCTGCTTCTCATCACAGACGCCTCGATCTGTTGCAGCCACTAAAGAACCAGCACAGTCCTCAACTGTTTCATGAAGAGAAAGTACAAAGTGCTGTGATCTTCCAGGTCCCTGTGTCTGTGATTGTTCAGACGTACCTTCTGTTTCCGCTTCTCCTTCCTCTTGTCCTCTGTGTCCTGCAGCATCTTCTCTCTCCACAGGTCAAAGAAGTAGGACGGATTGGTGTAAAACTTCAGACCCTCCTTCCCATCGTCCCTGCAGATGGACAGAAGAAACCGATATCTCGTTACAAAACAGCTAATCAAGAAAATTGCAGGGCTGCAACTTACCAATAATGTCATTGTTGATGTATTTAGTCAATTGCTTTGCTTCACTAATAAGTAAATAATTCACTAAAGAAATTGTGGGAAATGGCCCTCACAATTTCCCAGAGTTCAATAAGGGAAGTTCGGATGTCTTGTGTTGTTGGACAAACAGTACAAAATCCCCAAATAGCCCAAAAGGCTAATTAAAGCAGCAAATTACTACGCTTTAAAATTGGCAGAAAGAATAATTGATGATAATTGTCGTTGCTGTTTCAGCTCTTGCAGGCGGCAGGCACTACAGCGGTTGGACATTCCTGAAAAATAGAAAGTGGGGGAAATGTTTGATAATCATTTCTCTTCTCCTGTGTCCTGCCCTTGCCTGTCTCAGTCTGCTTTCCTTCCAGAGATCATATTTGTTTACCATTTGCCATGACTAATAGCTTATGTCCTGCTCTATCATTCATTCCCTCTCAACTGTCTGTCTTCTTCACTCGCATTACAGAAGCCTTTGTGGTTGGCGCTCACTGGGGAGAACAGTGCCATGATGATTGGGAGGGAAACAGAAAAAGGCCTTCTGACAGACACAGGTAGTTATCACATCAAAAGGTCCCTCTTGACTAGGAAATTACCATACACGAACACACTGTCCAGAAATGTCCTTTCATATCATTACAGGGATAAGCCTCCTAAATGGCGCTGCTGGTGTCTTTCCACTTCTTTATTGGAGCTTTCAAAAGTTATATTTTTAAAATATATGTATTCAAACTATGAAATAAGGTGTACACCTTTGAAAGAGGGCAACCTTGGGAACAACAGTAATTACAAAAAAATTCAAATGTCCGTTTCTTGCATTGTAAATGCAACTCTACACGATTGGTAGCTGCATCAATGACTATAGCTCTTTAAAGACTAGAGAATACTCCTCCACGAGGAAGGACCTTTTAGGCACCCAGACCTAACGTACTTGCTAACTATATGAATATAGATATTAATGCAAGAGCTAATATATACTGTGTCCTCCGGTCAAAGCACAGGTGCAGTTCTAAAGAGGTTTTTAGTCTCCTGGGAAATATCTTCCAGAGGAAACACCTTTAGAGCAGCAAAGAGAAAATGGCTATTTCTGGCACCCTGCATGTGGGCTAATTAACATCAATACCAGGTGTTCTCCTCCAAAACAACAATATTATTGATCTAACCGTAGTGTTATTTTCTACTTCAACTTGTATTATAAACCAACATAGTCATTCTATCTCTTCTGATTGTTAATCCGTACTGTATCTGTTCAGAACTAAAGGGCACATAAAAGGGTACTTCATGTCTCCTTTGACACTTCACAGAAATAATGGGTGTATCCAGCCATGTGAAGGCAACGCTAAGGGAGTGAATTATTTGATGATGACTCCGATCAGAGCCAGGATACAGAACATGAGAGGGAAAAGCTTCAAAAGGCAAGAGTGTAACGTGTAATCAAATGCAACACAACTAGGGGAAGAAAATCCAATCCAATACAGGATAACAAAAGCGTAGAGAGAGAGAGAGAGAGAGAGAGAGAGAGAGAGAGAGAGAGAGAGAGAGAGAGAGAGAGAGAGAGAGAGAGAGACTGCGGGTAGAGTGTTTATGTAAATCATTATGCATGCTATTCCTTCTGTGGGTTTTTGAGCCGTGGGTTTTGTGTTTGTTTTTTCTTGTGTGTACTGTATGGGAGAGGGAGAGATAGAAGCAGCTGAGCAGCTGTGTTCAGGGGTATCTGAGAAATAACAGCCTGGGGAGGCGTCCCATGGAGACTCCTGGTGTGATGTGTGGAGGAGAGAGGAGCATAGAGAGGAGGGGAGGATAGAGAGGAGGGGAGGATAGAGAGGAGGATATAGGGGAGAGGAGAGGAAAGGATAGGAGAGGTGAAACTACATTTGGAGAGCAAAGTGAAGAGGAGGAGATGAGACAAGTACAGAGGAGAGAAGAGGTGAAAACTCAAAGGGTGATTCCCCTGGTACAGGAAGTAAACATCTCCTATAATATTGTAACCTTTTTTTATCCTGTGATGGCTTCCTGTCCTTGCATTTCTGTCAACTTTACCCAATTTAATATCAATTATAGCTGAACAAATAAGATGGTTGATCAAGGGACAAGATAACGCCAATAGCTAAGTATTGCTTCTGAAATGTGAGGATCTTTCAAGGCTTATGGCATTGTATGGCTAAAAGGTTAACAGATCAATCAAGTAAATTATTGTCAGGTTAAATGAAGTAATAGTTAGTCAGCCTTAATATGAATAGACTCTTCCTCTCATGGGCACACCAGTAGAGCCACTGTCCTTTATAATAGGAACTTAATCCACTCTACTAGACAGTGTGCTCAGGGGTACTCTATCAATTGTTTTTCAAGGAGAGGTGAGAGCAGTTCCATCCAGCCTGGGAACTGACCTCAAGGCTTTAATAGTGCATGTTATTATGTGTGGTTCAAATATCACAACATTAATCCTTATCTGAATAAAACAGACGTGTAGCCTTCGGCCAGCGCGAAACAAGACATTTAAAGTAAGATTGGAAAAATAAAGTCACGCATGCCTTTAGCTTGGCTCGCACATTAAATAACACCGCCACGCCTCATTCAAATACCACAGGCTTCACCTGCCTCAATACAGTGCAAATGATGTATGTGTCTACACACACACACAGTTAAGAGATTAAAATAGATTGAAAGTGTTCGGCCTGTAACCTTCTCCAACTGGTTCGGTCAAGTAATAGGTCATATAAAATGCTTCAGGAGTTAAAAATGGAGTGAGAGAAAAAAGAAGTGAGAAAGCAGCAGGGTGAGAGGGCTGTGAAAAAAAGGGCAGAGTGCTGGCCAGAGGAGGTTTTTATGGATTATTCATCTTCAGAAGACTCTTTCTATTGCTCTGCTCGACAATCAAGAGCCAAGAGAGATGTCTGGTGTAAAAAATCACAAGCAGATAAAAATATCCCCACCAACCAAGGTGCAAAAGAAGATATTTCAATACATGCAGAGTAGAACTGTGTATCCATTTGTGGTTAGGGCAACCAAGATAATGGTGTCTTCTGTTTTCTTATATGTTGTGCATCATTGTGAGCAATACAAGTAATACAAGCTTTAATAGAGGCTGGGAGAAGTATTATAGAAAGAATAGGACCAATACCGGCCAATGTTCAACACCAGTTCAGTGATTCTTTTAGCTGTTGATAAAATGACATTTTCCCCAATCTCTACACAGAGGAGAATGATGTACTGTAGTTAGTGCCATGCTGGGCTCAGAGAAAAAGGGCGGCAATTAAACCTTCCACTTAAAGGTGATGTCAGGTTTTTCTTAAAGAACGGAACAGCTGACCTCCTCCTTCTCCCCCATTGTAGGGAGTTCATGATTTCCTTTTGAAAAATCTGGTTTTAAAAAGCAAATTATCATTAACTTTAAGCCTAAATGTGACTCTTCTAGTAACCGTCATACCCATAAAAGCCCTTTCTAAAGTGAGTAAAACAGGCTGCACTCTGACCTGTAGGACGAGAGGATGTTGAGGGGGGGCGGCTCCTCGCAGGTCTGGTAGGACTCCTGCAGTGGGACGGGCAGCGACTTGCGGTCAAACAGCTGCTGGTCCTGGATGGTTGAACTCCTGAAAGCCTTCCTCATGGTGATGTCCTGAAGAGACACTGCGGGGGGGGGGAAGGAGGGATGGAGAATAAGGAAAAAGAGGAGGGAGGGAGGGATGGGAGATTATTAAATCAGGTGATGTGATACACATATTTTGCATCACCCATTATTACCATCATGAAAAATGACGTCATCACTTAAACAATCGCAAAGATAACATTCAGGATATAAGGCTGGTTATTGGTACATGTGTTAAAATCTTTCCTGATAACATGTATTGTATACCTGTGGTGTTTATTTCTATTATTTTATTATCTTTGCTTTGTAATGTCTGTTGTAAAATTCTATAATGTGTTTTTAATGTATTCATTCCTAAAAAGTATTTTAATTTGTTTTGTAAAGCACTTTGAATTGTCGCGTACAGAAAAGTGCTATAGAAATAAACTTGCCTTTCCTGATGGATCTGTCAAGTTCATATTTAAAATCCCCTCAGTGGACTAACCATCTACCTCTCTATCTAATTGTTTAACCCTTAAATCATGTTTTTAGCTATTGCAACCCTTTTGCTTTTACTTCTAGGACTAGTTTAAATGTGTCTGCTAGCTTTATATAACTTCTCACTCTCACGTATGGTTTTCAAGTGTTATATCTGACTCTAGTCTGTGGTTTTCTTTGAATTGAGATATTCTTTCAAGTACGTTGAATCCCTTACAACTGCAGAAGTACCCCTGATTACGATCCCTGATATAAGAAATCCCCTTTTTTTGGTCAGGGACTGGATAACACAGATGCTAACGCTACATTGCTGTCCTAATTAGCTAATTAAAATCACCCCCAAAGCGAACCCACACATGATGGATAAGCTAAGCTAAGCTAAGCTAAGCTAAACTAAGCTGGGCTGCCCGAATGTCGTCTATCAGGGGATTTGGAGATGATTGCCCTTCTTTCATAGAGGGACAGCTGACTCATTTCAAAAGGCAAAAGAATAACAGAGTGATAACAATGTTGCACAGCCGAAGCTTTGAGAAAAACATGTTGGAGAAATCGCTGAGGGGAAGAGGCAAGGAAAAACAACCACGCTTATGCTAACCCTCAATCTGGTCGGGACAAGTAGAATACAGCAAGTCTTGGAAAGAAATCCGGAGCGTTGCAACTATATCTGAATTATACATGAGGGAATGACAAATGGATACTGTTGCCTGGAGGAAAAAGTCACGTGGCATATGGAAATAATATGGTAACTGTACCACACACAAAACAAAATGACACACTTGAATCCAATATTGAACTTTAACCCAGCACAGCAAATTGATTTCACAAACCAAATAATTAGAACAACTCAGCAAGATGTTCATTGTTTTTATACAATGAGACAAATAAAGCCAATTTACTTGACAGACTTCCCCAATCTGATCTTCTGCAGTGCAGCCAACAGCAGAGAGCTGGGTAATGACTTCCAGAGACTCTGTGTGAAGGGCTAGCCACCTGAGGCACTGAAGTATCATTATTAACAAACACTATCAGCGAGCCACACTGAGTAAGTGACTCCCTGGGAGAGGGAAAGGAGCCAGAGAATGCAAGAGGGAGATAATAAAAACTCCACGGACACAACAGAGGCAGGGTGATAGAAACAGGGGACACACAGCGAGGGAGTGAAGAGGCACTAACAGTAAAACAAAAAGCGCGAGCTGACACATAGGAAACATTCAAAAGAAATACAGACGAGTTAAATGGGGGGGGGAAGAGGCAGGGACTAACACCGACATTTGCAAATCAAGAGGATGGAGAGGTGTAGAAGAGAGTGAGAGAGACAGTAAAATAGATTACATATAATACAGAACTGTATGAACAAAGGGTCCCTTGAGAGATGTGGTGTAACCTGAGAAGAGACAACACCAGGGAGAAACTCTGGCAGCCATTTAACAGCAAACACACACACACACACACACACACACACACACACACACACACACACACACACACACACACACACACACACACACACACACACACACACACACACACACACACACACACACACACACACACACACACACACACACACACACACACACACACACACACTAACACCCACCGTAGACAGTTTATTGTTTACATTGAGCGCAAACAACCGCATGAAGAAGGTGCAATTAGTTGCTCTGTCATCTCAAGTCCTCCTGACTCATCGTTTTAGGAAAAACATTATAACCCCTGAGAACTGCACACACAGGTATTGTAAGTGTGGTAAGTCAAAGTTGTAACATTTAAGTTAGTCTGTAAACTGAAATGGACGTTTGAAACAGACCGTTTCTGTAATAATTTGACTGTTATCCTTTGTTTTATATTTCAGCTTTTCGGAACTGGAGGTTTTTTCCACGGCAGATTTGAGTATGTTCTTGTTCTCTTCTCAGTGAGTGCATCTGGATACATTTCAGTTGCTAAATCGGCGGCCTAAGAGGTGACTGATGATACAGATTTGGCGAAAAATCAAAGCCACAGTGGCAGGACAAATACTCTGACCACTGTGATCACAGAGGAGAGAAGTTCAAGGGTAAGTGGGAGTAATGGTGTGAAGATTAGAGAGGTAAGGGATAAAGAAGTGGGGATAGATATTTGAACATTCAAGTGATGCGTTGCTGATCCCATTAGGGCGTTTTACTTCATGCCTCCTTTGCAGAGGAAGGTCAGAGTGAAGGTCAGCAAAGTGCACCAACGGGCTCCTTCTCACTGCTTGTTTATTTAAAGAGAGGTAACAACCGGTCAGCGTGAATTTGGTGTCGCTGAGGGTTGTATGTTAAGCAAGATTACTGCGTACTGCCGCCTCAATGCATTTAGGGAGAGCTGTCAGATAGTGACTCACAAAGGAAAAAACAAGAGAGAGGCATTGCAGAAGTGTGTGTCAGGATGAATCTGATGCAGTGTGAGCTGGCTTTAAAACTCTGCCAAGCAACACTGAGCACTGAGAGAGGCACACTGCACTAATCAATGTGGGCTGAAACACAGAAGACACACACACACACACACACACACACACACACACACACACACACACACACACACACACACACACACACACACACACACACACACACACACACACACACACACACACACACACACACACACACACACACACACACACACACACACACACACACACACACACACACACACACACACAGCCAGGGTTTCTTACACATTAAACTCCAATGTCAATGTTGCCATATCTCCCCTCCTATAACTCTTTCCTCACACAAACTTAGATTTCACTTCATCTTTTTCCACACTTTGCTTCCTTTTCTTGTAAGCTTGTTTATTTTTTTTCTCTCTTCTTTATCTGAATGTTCTACCTCTAGCATTGGGAATGTTTTAAACTACCATTGCTGTGCTCAGTGTGTGGATAAACCATGTCATCTTGTGTTGTGGGTAACACAGAATAATAACAGAGTAAAAGGACTTACTCTGCACTAAGAAGAGATGAACTGTATGCATCTCCTCACCATTCAGATTTTCTCTTTAGAAGGCTTTATCTCAGTGTTTTTAACATGTCATTGCTCACCCACAATGCCTCTGGAGGAACTATTCAATGTAAGTTATACTATTCTACATTTAATCCATTTGAATATTTTATTGTTTTTAATGCCTCGCGAGTAATCACAGCGGGGGATGAGGGGAACAGATCCAAACCATATAACGTTTATGTGTAAACATGTTTATTTCTTTCATTACGCACATGTGAGAAAAAGAAAGAACATCCTGAGAGTACTTCTGTGTCTGAAAACACATTTAAAACTCAAAATGCTTTTAAGCAAATGACATGGCTTACCACTCCACACTTCCCATTCACAGAGGAAAGCAAAGCAACTCAATAAGAAACAAGAGTTTCTGAGAAAAGGAGAAACTTTCCTCATGGTTTTTTTGTATGCCTTTAGCAGGAAGTACGGTTTTAACAGTGAAGCCAGCAAAGCGTATTTGAAAACACCTCAATAGAAAGAGAACTGTAGACAAAGACAGATGAAAGGAAGATAAGGAGAGGTATGAACCGAATGTGGGGGAAATCAGAGTCAAGGAGGGTTTACAAGCAGTAAACATGAAAAACCAAGCAAAAAGGAATAATGCAAATCAAGATGTTGTCTGAGGGTCAAAAGGAGAAGAGAAACAAAGTGGCAATAGAACAAGAAAGCTCTCATAGAGTACAGAAGCCCACAGGGACCCGGGGTGGCTTCGTGGCCCTCCGTAATGGCCTGCAGCCGGTGCTCTGATGTAACGGTGCCATTAAAGAGGGGATACAGGCCATTAGTCTGGTTGGCTGGAGTGATAGGGGGATGAGAGCCTGACAGCACACAAATAGCATCCATGCAAGATGAAGGGAGAGTAGAGATCAATCTGAGAGATTGGAGTGGGCCGGGGTGGACAACAAAGACAGGGAAGGTATTGGGGGGGTAAGCGGTCAGGAGAAGGGGAGTGGAGGCATAAAGGGCAATGTAAGGGACAATATTCTTTAAAGGCTTCAGGGGCGTGGGCAAGGTGTGTGTGTGTGTGTCAGTTTGAACGTGCATAAATCTACGTGATGAAACACTTTTGACCTCAACCACCACCAATGACACAGCATACATCACTCTGTCCATGTCTCACGTCTCCCTGACCTTCAGTGAGACATCTTTCATGTGGTCCACGCAGTGTCCTTATGCTCTGGACTGATGAAACAGGATTTATATCAGTGTGACTAGTCTGCATCATATTTGAGTCTACTCCATTCCAAGAATGTGACTCATCTTAATTCGCAATACTGAAGTCCCTTTGCTTTTTATCACACATACATTATGCATGAACTGGGAAGGGAAGTTTAAATATAGTTAATGTGTGTAATACAACTTTTGAAGCTAACATAGTTAACTTTATATAACACCTAAACCTGTATAATACATAGTGGGGACACTTTCCTATACATTAATCACTTATAGTACACTTTAGGAAGAATGGCCTATGGTGCATTCACATGCTTCTTGGATGGTACCATTTAAAACATTAGGAAGTTATTCTTGCAGCTTGTGTGTGTGCATGAGCTTTAAGCTGTGTTATGAAGATGAGTTGTATTTTATTGATAGCTATCTGTTTCTTAGTCCAAATCGGGTGATGTTTAAGTGTATTTTTCTAAGATATAAAATTGTATGTGATTACATTAAAGGTGGGGTAGGTAACTTTGGAGAAACCAGCTCGAGTGCGCTAGAATTTGAAAATACACAGCCGGAAAAAATCTGCCACTTCCTTACAGAGCCCCTCCTCCAACACACACGAACGCGCATATGACCAATGAGGGCACGAGATAAGTTTGTGCACAGATGGAAGGCTGACAGGCAGGTAGGCCATCCAGTTACTTTAGCGGGGCCGGCTCAGATGATTGGTCGTGCTTTTTACAGTGCTACAGCTTCCACAGATGACATTTTTTTATGGATTTTTTGTCAAAGCACTGAAGATATTAATTTCTATCGGGATGTTAAGAGCATTCCATGGAATATAACAAAAAGTGTATATCGAGCCGGTTTCTCAAACTTACCTACCCCACCTTTAAGGTATTTCTTTTGGTCTGGCTTTTATCTCCTCTCTAAGCACTTCACTGTTGTATTGTTATCGTTATGTGTGTGTAATAAAGCAGACACATTACATCTCTTACCTACTGCTTGCTTGCAGTGTATTATTCTAATGCTGATCTAACTGTAATATGCTCTAAATCATACAGTAGCAATAAAAAAGGCAGAATAATCATTTCAATATGATGCTTTATTTAACGGTTTTATTGCACATTTTACTAAAATTCATCATTTTCGTTCGTATCTGTGATGTCAACATTTTAAACCAAATGATTTCGATTTAGGATTTTGCACCACAATGTAGCCAAACAAAAAAAATGTACAACCTAAAATCCAAGTGGAAGTTGCAACCTTTGAGTTTTAACTTCTGGGTGTATTCTGTCGATCGGCACATGTTCTTAGATCATTAATCGTTTTAAAGATATCCAAAGAGGTTTTTCAGTAGTTTCGTGCAAAATAATTGTTCCGCTCTCCTCCATCCCCCCATCCTCCCTATCTTTATCTCTCCACAGTCCTGATTTATGTCCCATCCCTGCTTGCACTCACTCCTCCTATCATGCCGACCACAGACCCACAGACACGATTACAAGGCAAGTCGTACGCTTGTGCTAAAAGCATACACTTGTAACTGTGTACAGCAGTGTGTGTTTGAGAGTGTGAGGGTAAAGACAGGGCAAGATTGGGGGTGGGGATAAAGGGTGGCAGTTAGTAGAAACAGACCCCTCCTACAATCACCCGTTTTTCTGTCCCATTCATCCATGAAGTCACCACACACTACTTCACTACCTTGCTGTTTTATATATCTTGAATGAAGAATATTCAGGACAGTAGAGTCAACTGTGTGCTTTTCCATTTACTAGGCAACTTCATTTGTGTGTGGATGAGTTTAAGTGAGCGGGAAATCGCTGCAACCTGCAGAGGAGGCCATTTCAACCTGGCCCAGAAAATTCTGCGGTACAATCCTTTTACACTCCACTGCTTTTGCTGCAGTGGCCTGTATTATGCACCCATCACTCTATCCTTCCATCTTCCTTACTCTCCTCCTCCCCTCCGACTCCCAACACCACCAAACACTTAAACTGCAACTGAGCTGATCCTTATCCGCTGTCTCTCAAGATAGTACTTTAGGCTGAAGATGTAAAGTCAGGATTATTAATGAAGGGAGATAAAAACCCAGGACCACATGTACAGATTCATTGGACACAAGCGTACACACAGCATCACTTATAATCCGTGTCCAAAAAGCCCTAAGTCACATGAATATCAACAGGAAGGCTTTTTGTTAATATGATACAAAGACCATATTTGTTGTTACTTGGGCATTTCCCCAAGATATGTTTCTGTTAAGATCAATTTGAACATCTTATCCTCTGCAGGGTGAGATAGTGCGGCTTGTGTGTGTGAGAGGACGAGTGTGTCAGCGTGTCTCTGCCCTTCAACCTCTGAAGGATAATTTGGACTCACTTACCAGCTGAGACACCCCACACAACAGACTTCCACAATTAGATCACACACAATTATTAGATTACGATGGCTACTGTGTCTGGACAGGGTGAGGAGAAAGGGTCAGGGGGGGAGAGAAGCAGGGAGTGGGAACAGAAAGACAGGTAGAGGGCAAAGCAATCCAAAAGACTGAAGTTACTGAAGGGGGAAGCGGGGAAAAAAAATGCAGGACATAACCAAAAGGAAGATTAGAAGGAACAATCCGTGATCTAAGAGTCTGCTCTCTGACTGTGTTTAAAACACAACCCCATGATTCTTCAAAAACCAACAAACTATTTATTGGTTTTTAAAAAAAAAGTATCAAAGCCTGCAGTTACAGGAAAGCCATAATTGCGAGTTCAGCTCAGTGAGCATTTTACTGTCTCGGTGTCAGTGACAAGGAAGCAGTTAAGGGTAGCATTGTGCAAAGCCATAAACACACTGCTGGCCCGTGGGAAATCGATACGACGCCTTGGAGCATGGTATTACACCGCTGTGATTCCCTCTCTTTTGACTTTGTGCCCACTATCCTGTCATCCTTCCAAAAGATACATTCTGACCACAGATTCAATTTCTCCCTACAAAGAGAAGTCTTCAGTGGGTAAACGAGCAAACCTTCAAGGGCTTTTTTCTGCTTGCATTTGCACCTCCAATAAAACTCCAGAAAGCCAGCTGGGGTTCACATCTCAAGCCAGGAGATCGGCAAGTGTGCTACATTCAACAAACTGTCTTAGCTTTAATACAGGAATACATAAACAACTCTGTTATATACCACACTCATGTAAACACATGCAAAGCAGCTGTTCTGTAAGGAACCTGTAGCGATATCAGTTCGTATTGGCTATTTATATGTATTCACAAATTAACTCCTAGACTGCACTGTCAGCCCAATTGTCTGCATTTGTCTAAATGATTGTCTGTAAAAAATACCGGTTACCTGTACTGCTCATATGTGTTAGAGAAATACCTTTGAAATAGGAGCTAAAAGGACTCTTAAAACGGCAATCTCAGAATTATGATCGTTCCTAATGCTTGTGATTAGTACACTTTAAGGGTGGTGGCTTTCAATATATGTTCTTAAAAGTATGGAAAAGTTCATACACACCAAAAAAGGCCAAATGCCTCAGAGGTTGCCTTCAGCCAAAGTGAAACTCTGAATTTTGTTCTGTTTTGTACTGTTGGGGATGAAAAATGACATTGTCTCATGGCTGCCTGTCCCTCTAATAACAGCCATTAACACTGGGGGGGGGGGGGGCAGTCGAGGTCCATCACACAGGTGACAAACAAACACACTCTAAGGCACATCAGCAAGTGCACATCCAATTTAGTGCAGTAGGAGGTGAAGGTGTGAGTGAAAGCAACGGAGTGAGAGTGCACAAGTAAGTTTGTGTGTGTTTGTGTGTGTTTCTAGAGAACTCACATTCCTCCTCTTTGGGGTCCAGCTGTGTGACGCTGATGGAGAGGAGGTCCACGCGCTCTTGCAGGGAGTTGACCCGGAAAGAGAAAGTGTGTGCTTCGTTGAACAGCTCTCCAAACAGGTCTTCTGCATATTTACCTGCAGATACACACAGGTACAGAACACGCCCCTTTATTTATTTTCACGCTTTTTATAGTCAAATAACAGTGTTAACATTTAAAATGATTAAATAATTCAAAGAACATTCTTTTATTATCCAATTATAATGACAATATTAAGTCTTAAATAGATTTATATTATTTATTCAAAGTGTCATTTGTCTTTGGTTGGACAATCTCACTTTATGTTTAACATCAACCGTCTGCTTGTCTTGTATAACTATCTTTGTATGGAGTTTATATCTATAACACTTAGGTGCTCGTTTTAAAAAATGGAAATTCAAATGCTTTGTAAGACACAATCACAGCACAGTAGAAAGTGCTGTACTTGTGTGTTTTGGGGCTGACTGCGCTGTTGGAGATGTGTGTGTAGAGGTGTTTTAACAAAGGCATGTGTGATACTAGTTGCACATTTAACTGATGAAGAAAAATCATATTTTTTCTTAAATGTTTTCTTTTTTCTTCAATTTCGGTTAATCAGTTTACTAACAAAGGCCTTAAATAATGTGTTCTACAGATTTGTAAGTATGTTGTATTATATGTTTAGAAATACTACAGAAATATGTAATTGTGATTGTCATCTTGAATGTGTAAGATTATAAAATGTGCCAGGTAATGCCCTGCATATTCCAATGCTGTAATGCCAGCAATGTAGTTTCCAGAAAATAAGCAGGAAAGAATGAAAACTGACAAGTATGCATTAGCTGACTAAGTACCTCATTTATAACGGTCAGCTAATCGACTTACGGAGAACCAAGGTGTGTTTGTGCTGTGTGTGTCTTTTCTTATAACTGTGAGAGAATATGAGTGTGTGTGTGTGTGTGTGTGTGTGTGTGTGTGTGTGTGTGTGTGTGTGTGTGTGTGTGTGTGTGTGTGTGTGTGTGTGTGTGTGTGTGTGTGTGTCTGTGCTACTGACTGAGGCTGCCGAGCTGGCGTATGACGTTGGCCAAGGAGATGTTAGTCACACACTCGAGCTCATTCTTGATGTTTCTTGGCAGCACCGTGTGGCACAGGTGCCTGGGCTCGATGGTGCGCTTCACCAGCGGCATCCTTCAGCTGCGACACCACTACCTACAGGAGGCAGGTGGAGGGGGGGAGGGAGTGAAGGAAAAGAAGATACAACTTAGTAAGATTGAAAATTCTTGTAAAATACCTTTTCATTTTGTTGTTTGCAACAATACAAGAGACAGATAGAAAAGAAAAACAAGTGTTTCACTGTTTGATATGGTCAAACATTACCAGAATTTTTCCAACAGAGCAATGGAGAAAAAACATTGGCATAGGAGAAAGAGAAATGACAGAACATGATGTGAGTTTAAGGGTAAAAAGGGCCCGTGGAGAGGGAATACGATGTGAGAAGTACAGTTTAACAGGGTCCTGGAGGGAAAGAAAGGGAAGTCATGTTTTGACATTGCTAACAGCCATGTTGCCTCATCTGTTTCACCGACTTAGCCCTGTCTTGTCCTTTTTCATCATGCACAGCCAGGCTAACAAACCTCAGCACTTTGTCTGCCCAGTCAGCCATGCTAATGGCCTTACAGATGCAGTGCAGTCCCAATTGTCCTCCACTCAAACGAACACCAAATACAAAGATGACTTCCCCAAACCACAGAAGGCACAGAACCATAATATGTGAACAGAGCTTAATACATCTTTCTACCTCAAAAAACCTCAAGAAAAACTGTGCTGGCATTTTTCTAAGGCTTCTAACATCACCACGACAATGCTAACAGGCTGACATTTAGCAGATATGTCCATGTTCAGTTTCTTGACATAGTAATCCAATAGTTGTGGAGATAGTTCAGTCAGAACTCGGAATGTCAGTTTCATGGTTGGGCTACAGGAAAAGACTGGGGATCACCAAAGCCGGCAGAATCAGGGATCCAAAATGTATGCGGATCAATCCAATAGGTGTTGGAAAATGTCACATAAATAACTTAAGACATTATGAGAGTAACATGATGTGGATATTGCATGGATATGTGATGAAAAGGGTGAGTAATGAGGGCAAAGCAATCAGGGCCACAGAGGGCAAAACACCATCCATCCGCACAACCCAACAGGGACCAACACCAGTTAATCATGCTAACAACACCTCGCCTCTCTGCTGTAATGAGAGCGAGTGCGTGCAACGATGTAGAGATCAGGTGCTGACGGAGTGATCCACTGGGATTGAAAGTGATGAGGCCTTGTTAAAGCACTGATAAAACTTTAATTGACATGTCTGGTACTTTTAATATCCGGCTGTATTCTTAGCGGTGTTGCCGTCACCGAGAAAAAAAACGTGATTTCTGACCGTATCCATTAAAATGTAAGCAGATGAGGAAGGCTATTCTAGGAAGTGGCCCAGCTATGGGTGGTTGTAGGGAAGAAAGAGAGGGAGCCCAGTAAAAGCTTTGTTGAGGTGATTCATCTTGGAAGAGTCTTAAATGGGGGCAAAAATGCCCATAAAAGGAGAGAATGGGAACCTGCACCTCTGTAAGCCGTCGTTGAAGTGGTTTCAATGAGGTGTGCGGGCGATGTTACTGCGACACAAAGCCAAACACGGCTCCAAATCCCTGCCTACTTCTTAAATAACAAGATGTCCCCCCCACTCATTGGAGATTTCTTTATTCTCTCCAAGGCTCTCACTCACCCACACAGCCAGTGTACGCTGACATGTTACAGCCTGCGGAAGTCTTAGTAATGGAGGGTAAAACCCTGAGCTGCCAAGGTAGAGGTGTAAACTAGTTGTTGACCTTTAACCTTCAGACCCAACACACCTGCTGCTTGTTCAGGAAGGTCATCTTAAAAACACACAAAAGCAGGAAAAAGGATATCAGACCAAACACTCTCTTGTCACAAGTTAGACGATTCATTTAACTTATGTCTGTACGCTAGTAACCTCTCGGTCACGGTGCTTCCCCTAGAAATAATCCAGCATATAACCTAAGGTACAGTAGCAATTTGCTGTTTTTACAGTTCTGTTTTTGTAAGAATAAACAAACAAGAATATTTTCATGGTGAATATTGTTGGACACAGCCGTGCAAACTGTTTCCCCCTGTATCAAGTCTTTGTGCTAAGCTAAGTTAGCCAACATGATGGCGGTGTCTTGTCATCAACTCAAGATAACAACAACAAATCCTAATGTTATACTCATATTCTTGAAGTTGCTGTGCATCTCCTTCATCCTTACTCACAGATTAAGCAATCCGCTCCCCTTAAAAGCTTCCCCTCCTTTGGGATTAATATCAGAAATCAATAAGGCATTTATTTACCTCTTTTCAGCTCATTGCCTTACTTATAAGAACATTAAGTATATATAGGTTGTATATTCAGCATATCTCTGGGGCACAGGGGAACAGAGACAGATTATAGAGGCAAACGTAATTAAATCAGTCCATCATAACGGTTCATTTCTCTGCTGCACATCCATACAATAGCTTATTTAACACAAACACACAGCCACACACAGATGAAGACGAATGTATCTGCCAGGCAGGTTTACAAGTTGTATACCCCTCCCCATGCGCCCATCCCTTCTTTCCTTCCCTCTCATCTCCCCATAAATGAATGTGTTGACCTCTTAACAACCTTCCTCCTTCCTAGTGGGTCATAAGAGTTATTTCTGAGAATGACGGAGAACAGATTTGACTAAAAAAACGGGAAAAAATCAGGCTTTCAGGTGGCAGTGTAAAAAGATGATAGATGGAAAACAACCTTTGTACACAAACGTGGGAAACAATGCAAAAATAAAATCCCTTTATTTTTATCTGACTTAAGATCTAAGAAGAAATACTTCACGGATGACAGAGAAAACTGGACATAACAGGATAGAATAATGAAGTCCAAACCAAGACAGCAGAGAGAATCAGCATTCACTCCTATTCTCCAAGGCCCATCATATAAAACCCCATAGAAAGTCTGTGTTAAGTCGTAATATCGATTCTACCAACCTGAACTCCTCAAGGCTTTTCAAATAGCAGAGTAGAGATTTTCAGTTTCTTTTGGTTTCAAATAGAGATTCAGAAATGATCATAAATGCCACTCAGAGGTGTGCCTCAAACATAACCAGTTACTTTAAGAGGGTCTGTGTTTCAAAGTCATAAAATCATATTTACTGCTCTGTCATACAACTTAATTATTAATTTTCAATAAAACAAACAATAGGAGTGAGGAAGAGAACTCTCTAATTTCTGCCATTGAGTAGTTCTAGTTTGAGCTCAATTCCTGTTTGAAGCAAGGTTACAATATATTTTCTTTGCATAATGTATCAGGAAAGTTTCAATTTTATTACATTTATTTAAATGTGTTGACGTCATCATTAATGAGTAAACTCGGCTCGCATTTCAAAGTATTCCTCAGACTGTCTGCCCGCAGCACATATGCGTTTGTGGGTGATTAATGACTGCAGCATACATTTGCCGCCTTGCTGATTGGACATAAGTTAACTCAAGGCTGCTGTCCACGGGAGGGAACATTTTCACACACACACACACCAGCACTCACACACATACAGTACATGCTGCGTTTGTCCGCTGTGGGTTCTCTATGCCATACTCTGACATGATTGCATATAACAGCGCTGCTCCCCTGAGAAACGTGCTGTCATGTCTCTTGGGTTCCCACGAGAGAGAGATTATACATCATCTTGGCTTTGACAGAGGGAGAAACATAACATGAAGGAGACAGAGGTACTTAGCTAAAACCAAGTACAATCTACAAAACCTTAACAATGTGACAGCTTTTAACAAGGTGGAATCAGAAGATGTTTTACCTGCATGGGTGAGGGCTTAATAAGCAACACTCTGACTTTTCCATTAACCCATAGGACTTAATGAGAAGTGACTTAACAAAAGGTTTACCGCACAAAGGGTGTTCCAACGGAAAAATACAGGATGTTCATCATGACTAGCTTAAGCCCTAGGGAAAACATGCCTACAAATAACATCCCCAAAATGAATCAGGTGTAGCTCCTCAACCATAAGGTTTGTATTCATATTTAATGTCTTATTTGAACAAGTAATCAGCTTAGGAATGTGATAGGTTAACTTATTTAGTATATTGCCTTCGAAATACATTTCTTTTTACAAGATACAAGATTTGTATCCTTGCCTAGCATATAATACAAATAAAAAAAAAGACATATATCACCACTTTAACAAGATTCCACGGATAATGATAAAACTGTGACTGCACGTTCAATTAAAATACACTGAATTGTGGTGTCCGCCGCCAAGTCAGTAGGTTTGACTCCCCATTTCAGGCAATGTCATCCCCATTTCAACTCTGCATCTCCAATAAAACCACTCTCTGGCCCAAAAAAGACACTCACATATACAACTTATGATAGAATTTATGAAGATATATACAAAACAGGTGGCCACTGACAACCAGTGCACTTAAGGCCAAACTTGACGGTAGAACATTGAGTACCTTACCTTATTAAGACATGCTGATAAACAGTGTTTTAAGTTGCTCAGAAGAACTGTTGTAGACTTTCTAGCGATACCAAAAATGTTATATTAGACTGATAGGAGAAAATTATTATTATTGAACACAAACATCTACTTTTAATACACCAAAGGGCTGGACATGGTATGTTACCGTCAGGCTTAAGGAGTTAAAATAAAAATATTTTAAAGATACAACTCCAGCAGAATAGATGAACTCTAATGGGCTGATGCAGTGTGACAAGACAGCAAATTATAAAGACATTATGATTTTGATGCGTCAGGCTTTTTCTCAGACTGCAGAAATGTGTTACGGAGGAATTAATTAGCTACTCACAGGTAACCAAATAGAAAGACAGATGAAGTGATTACATGAAAGAGCGTCTGATACTGACTGAGATGCTGAGGGCGACGCATAACAATCTGCTCAGTACAATTACCCATTGTATTACCCATACAATATTCACCGACAGCATATTGTGCGGCTGATTGATTCAATTTCTCTGACCAGCCTTACACAGCAGGACTGCAATTTGACAACCATGAAGCTTCGCTCACCGTAGTCGAGTTAGATATACTGCTTGGGGAGTAAAACCCTTTCAGTTTCAGTATTTCATAATATCATTTTTATAGTCAAT